TTGGAAGGTAGTGGTCATGGGGGACGGGGGCGTTGGGTGGTTGCGCTGTAGTGGAGGGTAGTTGTGGTATGGGTTTGAAGGTTGGTGTTGGAGCTTGATCGGGAGAACGCAGAGAGAGAGAGAGAGAGAGAGAGAGAGAGATTTTTTTTTTTTTCATTTTAAGTTTTTTTATTTAATTAATTAATAAATTAATGTTTATTTATTTATTTAATAATATATGCGGAACATGTGGAATCATATGAGTGAGTCTACATGGCACATTTGTTGCCACGTCAGCAATTAACAAACTTGTTAACAGAAAGAATGAGACCAAAAGAATTTGATGCATCGAACTCTAAAAGTCAGTAAACTTTATCGTAGTAAAGCGAAAATTACCCAAAATCAAATATTAGACAAATGTGTGCTCAATCCGAGCTTAATTTTGAATTTTGAGCTAAACTCGAAATAATAAAGATTACAATGGGGTAGTTACACAAAAAAATGAGCACAATAAATCATATTAGAGAAATTTAGGCATAGTTCTTTTTCGATGAAGTCCAAAAAAATACATGATCCAGTTCCTCTATTCACACATAGTGAGTCTAACAAAATCAACACAAAAAGGCAGAAAGCCAACCATACATAAAGTCTGATCTAAGCATAAGCCCACTTCAGACATAAAGCCATCCAAAACCCATAACTAAAACATAATTGAGTTACATTGAGTTAGATACCAATTTCTTACCCCTAAAAAAGGCATAAGAATACATATTGTGTGTGTTCATTGGAGAAAATCAAATTAGGACTAAATATGAAGACTTAAACTTGATTGTCACAATGTTATCAGACAAAAAAAACTTGATTGTTCATTGGAGACAATCAAATTAGGCTGAATATGAAGACTTAAACTTGATTGTCACAATGTTATCATACCAAAAAAGAACTTGATTGTCACGATGTTGAGTCTCATTTTTCGATATATTATTACGATTCAAACTGTCTATTTTTATGGTTGGATATCCAATTAACTAACACCACAAAGCCAACGCCCGAACTGTAGATTTGGTACTCATCAATTAATCTTAAACGACTTTAGCTACTCTTTTTTTTTTTTTGGTCGAAATGGCTTTCATTAAAGCAAAGGGGAGCCATATACAAAAGCAAGACAGGAGAAGAAATTTAGGAAAAGAGAGCTAAAGTCTTAGATTCTAAAGAACAAGTCTTCCCCATGTACCAAAAAGTTAGAAAGACAATAGAATTAAGGGGGCATGGAAGCTCGTCATACATCATCACCTGCACCAGGGACGGAGATGGGTTATTTTCCCCTCTGAGGATCCAACCCTACTCTACGGCTATGAAGCTAGAGCAAAGCAGCCTGATTTCATCCAGTAAAGAAAGAATAGTCCAAGCCTTGACACAAGATTTACCATTGATAGTGTCAATAAGCACTTTAGAATCAGATTCCATAGTAATTCTAGTATATCCACTTTGTTCCGCGCATGACAAAGCCACAATAGCCGCTTCAATTTCAGCTACCAAAGCACTGTTACTTCTATGACTGCAAGTGAAACCATAATAAAAAACATTCATCTCATTACGCATTATAACTCCCAGACCAGCCCTATGATTGATCCAAGCAGCATCAAAATTAATTTTTATGACTCCAAGCGCAGAAGGCACTCAAAAACTAATAATGGAATGGTTGTTGCCATCCAAATCCTTGGGAATAGCATCCCTACTTTTTACCCCTTAAATTCCAGTATGGCAGATTCAATCACTCATCTAAGATCAAGAATCGATATTTCAAAGATAAATTTACATCTTGCTTTCCAAAATTCCCATACAATAAAGCTAGCTAAGGAGATCATCCAATCTCAATCATTCTTTGAGGACTCCAAAGAAGTTAATAGACCATTAAACCATCGATCAACCGTTGTAAGGCTTTGAGAGTTCACATGATAATTCAAAGGAAAACCAAACCAAAACACATGTGTCCAAGGAAAAAGGTGAATAGAATGTTCCTCAAATTCCTCAAATTGATTGCAAATGGGGCATATGAGAGAGTCGATAATTTGTTTCTTGAAAAGGTTGAGTCTAGTTGGCAAGATCCTCCCCATCATTCGCCAGAGAAAAAGTTTGATTTTGGGCAGAGTGGTAGCCCTCCAAATTCCATTCCAAAAGCCATTTTGGACAAGATGGAACCAATGATTATTCCAAACAATTGAAGAGACAGAGACCACAATTTTATGGTAGCCAAATCTAACAGAATACAAACCAGAACTGTTCATAGGCCAGACAATTCGATCATCTTTGATGGTGTTGCCCATAGGCACTTCACGAATAAGATTTAGTGTCTCATAGTCCACAAAAGGAGCAATGGCTTGAGTGTTCCATGTTTTACTCTGTCTAAACATGATCTTAGAGACCAGTTGTGGGGCGAACACAGGTACACCTGTCGTAGGCACAAGAAGACTAGAATTACCCAACTGTAGGATGGTCTATTGCCTGGCATAGCCTGCATAAAGTCGCAATCGGGAAATACCTTGCCTTTATCAATCTCGCCCAATAAGCATTCGGGTCACAAAGTAACCTCCACGCTTGTTTCCCAAGAAAGGCTAGATTGAAGGAATTTAAATCACGAAAGCCAAGGCCTTCTTCAGATTTGGGAAGGCGCAAAGTAGCCCAAGACTTCCAATGGATCTTTTTCTCCAACTCCTAATTTCCCCACCAAAATTTGGCAATTTCACTATTAATTTCATTGCAAAGACTTATAGTAAATTTAAAACAATGCATGGGGTAAGTAGGCACAGCAGTAGCAACTACCTTAATGAGGATCTCCTTTCCAGCCAAAGAAAGAGTACTCTGTTTTCACTCCAAAATCTTCTTCTTGACACTTTCCTTCACATAGTTCATGACAACCTCTTTAGACCTACCCCACACCGTGGGCATCCCTAGGTAATTCCCAGGGTTGTCAGTGCATTCAACTTCTAAGATAGAACTGTTTCTAGCACACACATCAACGGGAGTGTTCCTGCTGAAGAACAAACTAGATTTTTGGTGATTTACTAGTTGCCCGATGGCCTTACAGTAACGCTTCAGCATGTGCATAAATCTTTTGTAGTTCACCTCCTTGACCTTAAGGAAGAACAGAGAGTCGTTTGCAAACAGCAAATGAGAAAGAACAAGGCTACGCTACGACAACTTATGACTTTGATCTACCTCGCCAACACACACTTTGTAAGATTATTAGATAATACATCACACATTAATCGAAAAAGGTAAGGAGAAAGCGAGTCTCCCTGCCTGAGCACATGTGAGGGAGAGAAAGAAGGACCAGGTTTACCATTAATGAGCACTGAGAAGGAAACAGAAGTGCCATACGCCATAATGAGTCTGACCCAGTGAGCTCTGAAACCCAATTTCAGAAGGGGGGCCTCCAAAAAGTCCCACTCGACACGATCGAAAGCTTTGTTCATAGCCACTTTTAAACCAAACTCGTGTTTTCCATCTTTCTTTTTAAGTTTCAAGTGTTGAAATGATTCATGGGCTATGATAAGATTGTCCTGAATTATTCGCTCCTTGACAAAAGCATTTGGGTTTGGGCTAATCAAATCAGGAAGGAGCAATATGAGCCTATTGGCTAGTAACTTAGCCAGAATTTTGCATGCTTATTACAGAGGCTGATCGGGCGAAATTGGTCCAGAGATTCAGGATCAGCAACTTTAGATATAAGAGCAATATGAGTTCGGTTTATGAGCTTCACTTGCTCAACCCCACCAAGAAAACCAGAGGCTACGCCGCTAACAATATCCTTCACAATAGGCCAAAATTTCTGATAAAAGACTCCAGGGAAGCCGTGAGGTCCATGGGCCTTCATGAGACCCAGTTGGTCAACCGCTTGTTGTATCTTTTATTCTGTGGATTTTGTTCCTCTGCCTACACTAAATGGTGGACAAATGAAAGAAGCGAGTATTCTCATCTCCTGCTTGTAACGAGTTGACTCTTGACCTTTGTTTCCAGTACATTTCCTCCTGACTCCAGAAATCTTCTAATTTGGATTTGATTTCCCTCTAACGAATGACAGAAGAAGGAGATGATGAATCTTTTTGCAAAT